TTGGAGTACATCGTCGTCCACCGGCATTTCATCCGACGCTCTCATCTGGCACTTCTTAAGTCATTGATGGCAGAAACAATCTCCTGCTCCAGCGCATCTAGTGCTCCGTTCCCCGTACCAGACCATCGAAGTTTTCTCGACGCAATGTCGCCATTCTTCTGTTGGCTAGTTACAGTTGGAGGGCTGATAGATGTTGGTCCCCGAGGGGGTAATACGGCGTGTGGCGGAACCCGGACCGGACTTGGTGAACTGCTTGACACTGAACTCCCAGGCACTGGATCTGGACATGTTTGTATGGGTAAGAAGAACTCCGAGATCCCGTCTACGAAAGCGAATCTGCCTTCTCTTGACAGCCTAGCGAGATCCAGTCCCTAAGTAGAAGGTCAGAGACATGTAGAAAGGTGTGTGTATTCAAATTCATTGATTAGCGGAACATGCCGCTGTCAATTGAATGTAGAGTGTTTACCCAATTCCTCATATCAGAACAGCCAAATAGAGACAAAAAGAAACATATCAAAACTGTACGATGATGGGGAAAAAGAATGGAAAGAAAGAAAGAAAGAAAGAAAGAAAGAAAAGAAACATCCGAAGGTCATCCAAAATCAAAATCAACAATCCATACCATTTTCCGCGTCTCTCCCCTCCAAAACTCCACGGCCCTCAAAAAGCTCACGATAACTACCCCTCTAACCCCTCTCCGGGCACCTGGGCCTCCAAACTCCATCTCCTCTCCTCCTCGACTGCTGCCGGACGATAGAGCATCGCAGAGGATCCTTAAAACTAGCCAGTTACTCGTTGCGCCAAGAACGGAGGTGATAAGGGTGAGGGACTGGGCGGGGAGAGGCGATGCTGTGTAGGGAGCTAGGAGGGGTGCTGTTAGTGTAGGCATATTTCTAAATTCTTTTCTGTCTTTCTTCCTAGCTAGAGGGAGACGTTCAGGTCGGATCTCCTGCATCCGCAGCTTAGTTGTGTATATCTCGTGTGGAGGGAAGTGTGGGCCAGCCCTCCCAGGTTATCTTGTGGTTATGTAAATAAATAAATATACTTGTATATACACTTTACATCGAGATGGATGCAATGCTTGACTTGCCTCAGGTGAAATTAAAAAAGGTGGCTGCAAGGTATTATGAGCTGATTGTTTAAGAGAGGTAAGTAGTTAACTACGGGACACAGTTGTTGTCAATAGAAGATGAATAGCATCGCGTCCGATGATGTGGTTGCGTCCAAAAAAAAAAAAAAAAAAAAGAAAAAAGAAAAATCTCCCTCTAGTTGTATGCGCCCACGCTAGCAACTTTTAACTACTTTTTGTGGCCGAAACTTAATTATTTGCTTGTCCATCCCTCGGGAGTGACTATATGTTCAAACCCAAAATAACTACCAGTGAGAATTAACAGCCCTGCTACTGTCGTACAAAACATTGAATTCCCCCAACAGCTAGTGAAAGTCTGGAAGTAGTCTGGAAAGGAGGATAAGAGATTTCAAGAGCGAAGAACAGTGACCCGAAGAAGAGCAAGAATAAAGTTATCATTGACTCCCCCCCATCCATCTCGCCCATGACTTTTCAGTCCATCCCGATAAGTTGCATAAGTTCGTCCAGCGCTGAAGGCTGCAGATTATTCCCAAAGTCGATAATTTCTTCCTCTTCTCCTTCTTCCTGACTCCCGGCCTCCAAAGCCAAATCACCTGCTGCTTTGGCTATATGAAATTTTTTCGCATGCGCATCTCCTAGTTTCAAGGCATGCGCTTCACGCTGGATAGCTGGCAAGGTGGGATTTGCGAAATACTTTTGCGGACGTGATCTAATGTCTAAACTATTTGAGTGAGTGGAAAGAGCGGGCGAAGTAATGTGCTGAATGATTGGCTCCCGTGCTGGGATGGTAATTTTGCCTTGAATATTTGGATAAGGCAGAGAAATAGACGGAGTGCTGACGTCGTCGTTAACCTCGAAAAACAAATCTGTGATTTCACCCTTCGTTCCATTAAACGATGGGGTAATATTTTCTGTCTGGTGGACCGAGGATGCCGTCTCGTCAAACATTATACATAGACGGTCAATCGGGTCCTGTTTGGAGTCTTCGAAGAGCTGCAAGACATTGCCAGCATGCTTCACGCCGTCTGAAGTTTCAACATCTGGGGAGAGAAGACTGGCCATGATTTTTTTGGGTTTGGACCCACGAGGAATCTCAACCTGTATGTGGGTGGGGCACCCTCTGCGAGTCACTGGATTTTCAAAAGACTCATTTGCGATCCTACCAAGAATTGGCTGGAGTATCCAAGGAAAACTGATAAGGGGCAGCTTTCTCTCCTGAAAATGTGAATTATCAACGAAAACATCGTGGTGTGCAGCCACAGCTATCTCCCACTGTTCACTGGTCACTTTATACATCGCAACGGCAAGTGGCGCAAGATGCTCAAACTCCTTTCCCCCTACTTTTTCGTAGCACATAATGCGGAACTTCTCTCGTAGGGAGGATGATATGCGACCAATGTCTTCATGGAATTTGTAATCTTTAGTCATTTCCGAATGACTTAATACAAACGTTGACCACACTTCGAGTTCGGTCTTGATTTCATGTTGGGCCATGATCCGCCGCATATCCGCATCGTATTGTGTTTTGAGGTTAGTTGCAAAGCTTAACAATTCTTCATCAACTTCGATACCTGAGTTTAAAACCCGTTTGTCGAACTTTGGGCTTTCTAAAGGAGACCAAAACGGTGGCTTTGAGTGCGCATCTATGTGGCTAGCCATGTCGTACAATTGTCCGAGAATTTTTTGAGAAACATACTCCGCGTATTTGTTTCTCATTTTCCTCTCCATGAAGTGAGGCCACCTCCTTGGTTTCAAATCTCGCGTCAGTTTAACTGGTATTCCTGATTTATTGTAATCAACCGCTGCGGAATGCAAGGCAGCGAGTTGAAGGCATTTCTCGTTCTTAACTCCCTCTTCCATATAATCTGCCAAGGCCAGGTGCGCAAGAGCAATTTGTGGAAGACGGTCGTTCTGCATATAGTTTACATAGAACTTGGTGATATCGTCAACAGTGACGTCACGATCTAGAACTTCAGGCTTCGGTGCGGCATAGTCCATTGGGTTATGAAACCAGTCCGTCGGTAATATATCCTGGTCCCAGATCACAACGTAGTCATCACCATCCAGATCACCCCCGGAACACATGCTTGAGATGTCTCGATCCCCAGTTTGTGGGAGGACAACAACGTCCCTAAGGTGATGTAGCGAAGGCGCATTGACTGCCTTGACAACACGTATATCACCCGGGTGAAGAGACGGATTTCGAGCAAGAATGCAAACACCCTCAATGATAACATATTTACCTTCACTATGTCGCCATACTTGAACGAATATTTCAGGTAGACATGCCACGCTCTCCTCGTATGTTGCGTCTTGTCCTGGCCGTGAACTGCGGAAGTATCCTTTCAGAGTTTTGGTTTCATCGATGCAGCCCAAAAGGAAAGCTCCCTCATCTATCGCGATTTTGGCCTTTTCCTTGAGATACTTTATTTGCCACGTACGCCATAATTCGAGAATCGATGAGACAAATGGCTCTTTCGATCCCTGGAATCCGTCGCGTACCATATCCGCGAGAATCAAGGTCATCTGGTTCGGGTCAACGTGTGTTTGCAGAAGATGGACAGCCTGCTCCTCCTGTATCATGGCCTGCTCTAACTCTATCCATCATCATGCG